CCCCCCCCCCCCCCCCTCAAAATTCAATTCTCCGCTGGAGAACGTTTTCGTGAGCCTCTCATGATTTCAGGATAGTTGAAACCCTCTTGCCCTCTTGAACATTCAGAAAGAGTGCATATGAAATTCGAATTACGAAATGTGTTCTCGTTAAAATACCATTCTCTCCTGGAGACCGTCTTCGTAAGCGTCTCTGTGTTCCCCGAAAGGATCGCAAGGTGTTACATACCTAGAGTTTATTTTCTTCTCTCCTGGGGCCTCTTAATTCAATTCTCTCCTGGAGCACGTCTTCGTGAGCCTCTCATGATTTCAGGATAGTTGCAACCCTCTTGAACATTCAGACAGAGTGCATATGAAATTCTAATCACGACAGGTGTTCCCCGAGGGGATACATACCTAGAGTTTGTTTTGTGAACCACGTCTATTCTCTTTTGGGGAACGTCTTCGTGAGTCTCTTCTGGTTTCAGAATAGTTTAAACCCTATGATGCTCCGATTCTATGCTCACCGATGATCTGAGCCATGGGGCGAGGTTGTTTCCCTAAGAACCTTTCTGAACATTTCGAGAGCATATGAGCAACGGCTTCTATTTGCGGTAGTGGTGATTGGTCTAGGGGCGTTCCTTTTCTATAGCCCAATGTCAGAGTTAGTTGGCGAAACGAGGTAGGAAACACCCCGAAAACGAGATGGGCATCAAATGCGCCATTTGTTTGCAATGGTTTGGTTACTGACATGTTTAGCTTGTGAAACGAGGTAGGAAGACCTCTCGAGAACGAGATGGGTTTCCACACACCAAAACGAAATACAGGCATGGAGACCGAGATCACACACCAAAAACGATGCGGGCTTGGAGACCGCTGCTGTGGCTCGAAGTATGCCACTCGCGTTCTCTTCTCTTCCCGCTGTCCTACCTTTCGTGTCTCCCTCCTCTCAAGTAGCGATGGCCTCCAACCTAGATGGCCTCCACCTAGCTTCTTGTTGCTAGTAGCGATGAGCAGTCAGAGGCGACTAATAGTTGATAGAAGATTCTGTACTCCTGCACTGGCAACCATAAACCTGTCTCATCCGGGGCCATGTGCGAAGACCGGGCGTTGATTGACAAAGTCCTGAATCAATAAAGCAATACATGTGGTCCTCAATAGCACAGACCATCGTGGCCCCCCCCAACTCAATGTTGTGATGCAGGGTTTTAGTCCTTCAACTTTCTTTCGTTCTTTTCTGTTTGACGCATTCCCTCAACTCAATGTTAAAGAGGGAGCGCGAGGGTATACATGGGTTTGTTCTTCCAGTGGTGCGGGATTTTGTCGATCAAGCGCATTGCTATGTGTGTTCTTTGTCCGGCATTAAATCACTAGCCTTTGATTTGTTCCTTGTTTTGAAGTGTGATGCCCGCGCGCTTCCGGATTTTGCATGCTGCAAACGCACTTCAGAGGACGGAGGAGTCGGTGCGCTATCGCGCCAGCTTGGAAGAAGAAGTGCGACAGAAGGAGGAGCAAAAGCAACTCGAGCCGACAGGGCAGCCTCACAAGAACAGAGCTAATCCAAGTTTGCGACCGGACCCCGCCCCCGATTTCGCTCTCCGGACAGCATCAACTGGCAAAGGCTTTGGCAATTTGAGTGTGTTTTCAGTCTTCAGTGAGATTTGGCCGGATGGGCAACCAATGACCAAGCATGCACCCTGGAAGTACTTGGAAGTGGAATATGAGCAAGGGCCTTGTTCTGCACTCCAATGAGCAGTTCCCGATTTCCCCCTGGTTGGTAGAAGGGACGGAGTAGCCCTTGGGTATTGGCGATGTCAAGTATGAATTGTTTCTGCCAGTTCCATGGTTGTTTGGAGGATATATACAAACATATTTTGTTAATTAGTTCTATTTATTTGTGCATATATATATATATATATGCGTGTGTGTGTGTTAATTACGCGTATACGTATAAGCTTTTGTGGACTTTGACCATGGCCGTGAGAGCAGGAGTTTTGGCAACTCCCCGCCAACGACCGAGGCAGCTGGCCACCACGTTGCAGGATCGTTGCAACTCGCTGATGCAACAAGTCGAGTGCCCCTCGGCTGCGGGTCATGAAAGGCCTCCGGTCTTCCCAGAGTCGGTGGCTCGCAAGGAGACCTTCCAGGTCAGGTAGGCAAGGGGCTGCGGGGGTTCAAGGGCCAAACATTGTGCAGCTTGAGGTGTTCTCTAAACTGTTTTAGATTTCAGTTTGGATCTACTGGACAGAAGTCCTGCTTCCCGCTCTTTGTCGCCCCCAGTCGTTGTGTCCATATTGAGGCCTTCGGAGCAGCTGTCAGACTCTCAGCACAGACTCTCAAGAGAAGGCAGGCTTGGAAGGCCAGGTGAATGAGCTCTTGCGGATGAATGCCCAGTGGTGCCTCGGATTTCGCTTTTCGCTGGAAACACCGCAGGTAGTGAGTTTGTGCCGAAAAGCCCAATCTGCCCAGGGGCCTACGGGGCCTAGGTGGAGGTCTAAAAAGGCGGAGATGGGGCCCTTGTCAGGGCCTGTAAGGGAAGAATTAGGAACACCGAAAATGGAGAGGTTCGAGGGATTGAGGCACGAGGCCGGAATTACTGGCATCTATATTGCGACAATCAACGTGAGCAGAGCAATCGGTCATTTCATGTCATCTCCTGTGTTTGTGGGCTTCCTGCTTCGAGATGTTCCAGTATCCGAGATCCTTATTCGCATGCAGCCGGTCATAGATGTACTGTTAAGAGTTTCTGTTGAACTCAGGCAGCAAGCGCATCAAAGCCTCAATGCTGAGTCCGAGAATCTGCGGCAGAGGCTCATGGAGGTGGATCAACTGCAGCTCAGCAGCCAGCGAGCAAGCGGGCCCCCAACTGGCCGGTATTGGTAGGAAGTTCTGATCGTGAGCGGTGGTTTTTTGACCACGTGCGAGTTCAGAACATGTGCTGTAGTTACCGGACACTCCATGTATGCATATGTATGCCTAATATATGCCTACATTGACCCCTCAAACCACCCCAATGTAGACAAATCTATGGCATACATGGAGTATCTGGGGTTGATCAATGTTGATCATTTCCATCCCGAGATTTTTGAACCATGAAAGAAATTTCATGGTCACGCTTGATGGGAGGTGCCCGCAGATAATTGATGTACGAGGGCTGGCGATGTTGTTTTGCCTAAGAGCTAGCTCAACCGGTCGAACCAGTGGGATCGAACAGTGCTTGACTAGCTGATCCGGTCACACCGAAGCTGCACCTGGTTTGGGCCGCCGCATGGAACCGCGCATGGAACCACTCCGGAGCCCCCCCCAGGAAGATCGAAGTTCGACGGCTGCAGCCCATGGAAGAGGCCGCGCGTGAGATGGAGCTACGACTCCAGGACACCGAGCAAAGTGGCCCGATTCCTCCGTGGGGGTTCTACCCGGAGCAGTGGAGTGGTCGATTTGGCAGTTTTTGGAGGGGAGCTATGAGTGGTCGGTTTGGCGGACGCATGATGTTTTGACGGTCCATTGTGCTTGACGATGGAGAAGGCTAGACTGGTATGACATCTCTTGGTTTCCAAGGTGTTTTTTGAGACAGATGTTTCCCAGTGAGTTAATTGACCCTGCGCTTGCTGGTCTTGCAGTTGGACTCTCAGTTATGAATTCACGCTATACCCTGATGGATGTTTTTCAACTCTTACTTGTCTTATGTCTTAAGATGTCTTAAGTACTTAAAGAGCGGGTCTTATATAACTGAGTTTCAGTATGTTTCAGTGTTGCAATGAGTTTAAGTCTTATATTATATTAGTGAGTTCCATGGCCAAGTCACCTCCAAGGTCTCGAGCAGCACCGCGACGCGCTCATCGAGGCGCAGCAGCTGCGGAACCATGACAGCGGTTCCCTGCAGCGTTTGCAACTGGAGCTTGAGTCCCTACAAGAGACCCTTCGCACAAACAGTGTGTGCCTAATATAGCCCAGACACTCCATGTAAATGCCATTTTGTGCCTACATGTTGATGGTTTTGGGGGTCAATGTAGGCACATATTTCATATACATGGAATGTTTGGGTAGAGAATTGTTGTCCATGCGATAGATTCGACTTTCGGAGACTGACAGGTTCAGACCACCGGCGCTTAGGAAGCCCAACTCAGAGATTCGGGGGCCCCACGCTCGAGGGGTTGAACACGGGACATATTAATTACTAACCTTGGTTTCCAGATGCTGCAATCATCGAGATCCAAACGCCGAGTGCCATCCATCCACGAACTGGACACGTGTGTCGGACACGAAGTGGACGAGAAAATGGACCGGTCCACTCACGGGACTTCTTGACTGAAAAAGACCGAGGAGTCAAGCTTCACAAGTGGGCGAGTTAGAAGCCGAGCTCATGGAGGCAAGACACGAGCGTGCTTCACTGCAGCGGGAGAAGGAGGATCTTCAGCGACGCATGGAGGACGAGGGAACGGGAGGTCCACTGTTTGGTTGGGATCCCGAAAGGAGCTTGCAGACATGAGCTTTGAAAAGACATGGATTTGGGTTGGTTCGAGCCATGTGGCTTGTTCAAGCTTTTTGTTATCCCCGATTGAGTCATGTGAAACGATGCAGCAGGAGCTCCTGCAGAAACAGCAGGAGAACTCTCAAGCGGCAGAGGATGGAAAGAGCATACGCCAAGAGAAGCTTTGGTCGGAGTACTGGAATGTAGCGGAAGCCCTGAGATCTTTTTTAGGATGAAGTAGGTCATGGCCATGGCAGACATTTGTCATGATGTTTCATGCATTCTCCAGGTGCCGCAGTTCGCATCGCATTTTCGAGGGGCTTTCAACACCTGGAGGGTTTGCCCATATTTGTCTCGTCTGGAATGCTGCTCCAAACCTAATATGCTCCGAGTGTCACACCCGTTACGACCGCTTTCTCTAGGAACGAGAAGCTCCGAGAAGAGCTACAGATGGCGCAGGAAGAGCAGCAAAAGCTCAATGGAGTGGTCGAGCGATGTTTGGCCAAGATGGAGGTGGATAGTCGGGAGCGACCCTTCCTTGCAGCTTGGATAGGAACGTGCGTTCGCTTGGTGTTGGAAAGGTGGTCCCGCTCCAAAAGGAAACAGACAGCATTGGACAACAATTTGTACTTAATGAGTGAGTTCTCAAGCACTGTACTATTGCTGTTGCTCCTGCTTCCAGTCCTGTTTCTATTTCCTCCTGGCGCATGGCAAGTGCAGGTCATCCAGGCAGGGACCCTGTGTCCCTCCATCCCAGGGACATCAGCGAGAACCTCCACCGGTTTCTTCAGGTCGACAAGCGGATGGTCACCCAGATGTTGGCGGCCTATTTGGAGCAGCGGGATCATCCGGGGCCGCAGCAGGAGATTATGGCGAAGATGGCCGAAGCTTGGACGCAAACGCGGCGCATGGCAGGCTGTCCTGGCCGCCTGGAAACGAGCTGGGACACACGGAACAGAACCTCTTATATTATATATATACACGTTATTTTCAAGAAGACCATGAGTGCACGCAACACTTTGTCTGTTTTGATGTGCGTAATTACCAGCGTCAAGTCTATCGTCGCGGTAACTCCTCTTTTGATGAGGGCCAGATTTTGTTGCTCTTTAGAAATTTGCTTTGCTGTTGCTGATGGGTTCTGAAAAGTGGCATGCCACCAGAAATCTTTTCGACCTCGGAACTGGATTTTGGATGATTTTTGGATGTTCTTTTTTTCTTCTGTAGCACCACACCTCAAATCAATCTCTGATTTTTCTCATTTTTTCTAGACACGGTGTACCAGGTGAACGCGTACAGCTGCACGGATAGATGCGTGCAAGCGTAGAATATTCTAGAATGTCCAGCCTCCCAGAAAAGGCTAGATCCGGCGTATTTAGTTGGCGTATCACAACATGAGGGAATCCCGCTCAGAACTTCGTTAGGATTGCACAAGGCTAACTAGTGCAACTGTGGACATGCGCTCCCATACAAAGCTTATGGTTCGACCTACTTGGGCACTTTCATACCTCAACACTTGAGCTTACAAAAGCATCAATTCTGCCGGGTTTGGGTCTTCTGAATGGATTTGTGTCAGGATTTGCTGGGCTTCAGTGTCTTGGCGAGAAAGGGGTTCGGATTTGTCGCTGGACGAGTCAGTGCGTGAGGAGGTAGTTCGAGTCGCCCTTTGTACACTCCGCATGTGAACACTTTCATTCACCCCCAAAACCTCACCTTGGGACCAGCAAAACAAGCATTTAGGTTGGAGGCCATCGCTCTTAAGTTGGGGGGGCATCATTCTTAGGGAGGCCAGTCCTATTTGGGGGCCATCGCTAAACAAGCCGGCAACATTTTGTATACATGAGTCGGCTGCTCGCAGGGTCTCCGTAGGTGCCACCGCTTGCACCCCGGTCCGGGCAGGTACCAGCGAGCGAGAGCAGGTCGGCCTCTCCCAGAAACGGAGTCTGGGACTGCCACGATCTCATTTTGCTTAAAGGCTTAGGAAGGACTACTTGTATGGTGTAGCCCAGCCTACTAGGCCACCGTACCGGTTAGGGTTCTGGTGCAGAATCTATGCTACTTGGTGGATTCTGAACTGGTTGGCCACTGGAATGGCAAATCCAAGGGGTTCAAGAGCACAAAGTGCTATTTGAAGATCAGAGGTGGCATGGTTCTTAGATCAAACTTCCACTGCAAGTACTAGTAGCCTGCCGGAAGCAAGAACACATCAATACACCACAACATGTTGCAGACTACATAACGGGACAAAACGTATCAAAAAGTGCATTTTCTCAAACGGTGCACTGACTGCTTGAACAAGATCGGCCCACTGCGGGGCCGGTGGTTGGGGTCAGTGATTGGGGGTTGGACATGGAGGGCGGGACAGAAAGTGTGGACTGCCCCCCCCCTCGTGGAGATTCATGTGATGCTTCACCTGAGCGATCAGAACCCGTCAACGGATGGTTTAGGGTTGAGGGTTTAGGATGGTTTAGGTGATCGGTTATGATATGTTATAATTGTTTGGAGCGTATAAACGTTATTAGAATCAGTGGAGGTCTTCTACCAGCTGTCTTGAACCCCCCAAGGAAGGGCCCGATCGCTTCGGAAGAGCCTGCGAACCTCGCCGACTTGACCGATCGATTCGTGGATTTCTTGATGGAGGAACCGTGGGTGGATTCTGAAGGAATAATCATGTTCAGTGAGTCGATCAATCCTCTTTGCATGTCCAGTTGTTCTTTTGTTTTGCTATTTTTCAAAAGGTTGTTTGATCAAAGAGTTTTATAATGTCCTTTAGTCCTTTTTCATCGACCGATCTAATCCTGGCAGGAGTCCGAAGCGGGCTGAGAGAGGCACAGTCGCAGATTTCTGGGCACAGAACCTTTTGGCTTTCGTGCCGGCATCTTCCGCATGGGAGATGTACAATGCGCAATGCAAGGCTTTGTTTGATTTGCCAAGCCTTAGGCGTTCTGATTCTGCGGATGCGCAAATCAACTGCCAGAGAGTGCGGAGTACCCGGGAGCACCCTGGTCCCATCAGCAGAGGTTCCTTCGCTTTATGTCAGGGTTATCCAATGATCCAACGACATTCCTCTTAAAATGTAAAAACTGTACTTAAATTACTTAGAGTCTTGATTTCAATTTAACCCCCAGGAACAAGATGTTTTACCATGTTTTACCATCCATGTTTGGCGGGGGGGGTCATACTGGATCCCTTTTGCCAAACACTTTCACCAAACAGTGTTCCATTTCAACACATGTGGATCCCTCTAAGGTGGGTGCCTTCGAGTCCTTGCTAAAGCCTGGAGGTGCGGGACGGGTCGCCGGTCAAGAGCGAAGCTGAAACCATGAGCTGCCGGCTGGTGACGCCGGCGATTGGAGACTATTGGGTATACAACATTTGGATGTTTTGTAGATTGGTGTTTGTGATGTTTGTTATGATGTTATATCATTGAACCTTTGCCACCTTTGGCAACCATGATTGTTATATGAGGCCAAGTATGACCAAGGTGCTCTTTTTCTCAGTGCATGTGCTTGAGACCCTGGGCGGGCACATGACTCTGAGACAAGCATCATTCATGCTTGCGCCGCTGCATGCCACTGCGCTAGGCCCCGAGCTTTCAGTGGATGAGAGGCAAGGATGGACGATGAACACAGGTTTTTGCTGTGATGGCTTTGGTGGGATGCTCCAGTGGGCACCACAGATGGCGTCGATTCGACTGGGGCGAGTCGAGAAAAGCCCAATCAAAACAATACCTTTGCAAGGCGCCTGCCTTTCATGTTTGATCCAGGCAGGCCGAGCCCTTGGCCCTTGGACGCTCAGATAATCGGATACATTTCATGAACTCCTTCATCCCATGTGCTGATCTCTGACCTTCCGTTGAAACACTTCACACTTTGGGAGCTGTGAGTCTTCTGAAATGGCTTTGGGGCTTCACAGTGCAGACCGAGTCCGGAGTGTCTTGGCACCGCGTCCGGTGGACGTCCCAGGCGAACACTGGAAACGGCTTGCCGTGTGCACCAGCTTTCCAGTGTGGTGCCTGGCTGGCCCGGCTGCAGGGAGGTTTGGTTCAAGAAGAGAACATCCTGAAGCCGGTGTTGAAATCAAGCTTCAAGGACAAAGGTAGTTGGGTTATAAGGTAGTTCATGTGTGGAACTCCTAAAAGCCGATTGTGTCGCCCCTGGGATGTGCATGTTTCTTGTTTATTTGGCTTGAAACGGCCTTCTTGCTGTAATTTGAGCATAGCGTTTGCCTTGGGTTTGAAGGCCCGGCTTGCCGATACACTGACACATGACATCAAGACCCAGGCAGAACAAGACGTCAAAATATATCAACATACATCAGCCAGCATACAAACCTGAAGCTCCAAAAGTTTCGATCTTTAGCAGCAGTGCTGGCCAAACCAGCACCTCACCAGTTGCCCGGAGGGATGGTTTCTGACCATCCGACATATGGAAGATATCCTTGTGTTCTGATGACACTGAATCAAGCTAGTACAGTAATCAAGCTCTATGACGGTATGGCTCTTGTTCTGTGGATCCATGCAACGTCGTTGGCTCCGGGTCGCCCGGTCAGAGCTGCGCGGCCAAAGAGCTGCGCGGAAATCATGAAGGACCACGCGATCGGACCAACTGTCGTTTGGAAGGGGTCAACGTACCACAACTGATGGATGAAGATTTTTGATATTTTATCTTGCATGGTAGAGTGTTGTCCAGTTTGCGAGAGAGTGATCGAACTATAGAATGTAATAGTGGTAGAAAACACATGAAAAACGACTCTTTGCTAAAGCAGAGGTCCCCATCGGTTTCTATTCGCTTCTTTTTGTTTGAGCCTCGATTTCTCAACATGACGTGAACTCATCGCCGCGTGGTGCCATGGAGAGCTCGATGCTGCGTGCTTGGCATGGTGAGATCGGGAGAGGGGAAGATGGAGAGCACATGTACCTGAAACACAAAATTAACGGATTGACAGATTGGCAGCCAGAAGGCAGAAGGTTATTCAGATTCTTCAGGATTTATGGTTGGCAGATCTCAGATTGAGTTTGCGGCAGCTGACTTGCCATAACTTGCAGGTGACTTCCAGCAGCTGCAGCCATCCTCTGTGCTGGGAGTGCGCTGTGCGATGATGGCAGTGTGGCTTAGACGCAGCTGTTGTCTTTCCCTTGCTTCCAGCGGTTTCTAGCAGTGCACTTTGTTCCACCACGAACGTGGAACAGTAGACGAGCATTAGTAACCCTGAGGCCTCAGTATTGTCCTTTGTTCAGGGTCCTGTCACACTGGCACAGGAAAGCTTTGCTGGCGCAATTGTTTGACCTTGTTTGACCTCCGGTTTTTCTAGACCGGCTACTGGATCCTCCAGCATGGGGGAGAGGTCCCTGAGAAATGGCGAACCCGCGGGGAAACGAACATCATGACCTGCTGCTGTTTCGTCATGCTCCGCGGACCATTTAGAAGATCCCTTTTTCTAAGTGTTTTTGTGGTTATCCCTTCTGGATGAAGAACCTCATGGGATCCCGACCAGAGATGTAGAGATTGAGGTAACCCCACACTCAAGGCCCACCAAACCACTAATCCGGTCCACCTATTAAAAAACACGCCTCCCCCCCCCCAATAAGGAAACCTCGGTCGCATTTTTGTTAATAGGGGGTCCCGGAAATCGGGTTGGTCCAAAATAGGGTGGGCTTCAAAACCAAAAAGTCACCCGCAGGAAAATGTTATATAAATACACGTCTTTATTAAATTCATATCAAAAATTCAAAAACCTCCAGATCGAAGGGTCTTCCTTTTCCCCTACAAAATCCTTTATTAGAATAGTGATTCTTCATTGGACTAACAACTAAAGCTTTCGAAAGGTGATGTCGCTGTGCCATACGGTTTTGCGTGACCTCGGTGGAAAGTGCGTTTGCGTGAGTCCGCGCCATTGGGGGAAGGAAAGCCTGCTGGTGTAAACACGGCGTGTCATGGTGGATAGACAGGTGGACAGAGGTGGGCAGTTACGGTTGTTTTTGGAACCTAATTTTTAAGAATAAACTCCTCCAAAATCGGCCATGTTGGTGGTTTAGTAGCGGCTTGAAAGGGCGGTAATTTAACAACGAATATAAGCCGTATTTAGGGGGTTCCGACATGACTTTTTGTTAATAGGGGTCCGTTTTTAAGTAGGTACCTGGGATTACCTTGAAAACACATGTGCCTCGAAAGGACCTGAATCACAAACTTGCCATTTGAGATCGGGTGGTCTTTATCTAAGGGGACGTCCGTAAGGCCGCAAGGGACCCCATTTGCAATTGTGACTAAATCGAGAATAGATTACTGTAGATGATGGTGAGCATAAACAAAGTTGACAAAAGATAGAATTTGAAACGGTGTCAAAAACATGTATCATGTTTTAATATGTTTTTATCGAGCTTATTTTATACCCTACCCTAGGATTTCCAAGGGCCCTCTCAGTTTTTTGATTCATCATTTAGATTTAATTTCCTGAAGTTGTGCAAAAATTATGGGGGTTCCATGGTAAGAAGTTGTGCAAAATCACAGGTAAGATTAATTAACGCACCCGGGGGTGGATTCAGTATAGAAACGGGGTGGGGGAAGCAGAGAGTGCAGACAAAAGATCAACACAATGGATGGAAAGAACTTGACTACCTGTTGATTGTTTCTTGTTAGCACTCGAACCTGTTTGAGTATGTAGTATGGCTTGAATTTCTGAATCCAGCACTGGAGCAGGTTAGGATTGAACAGTTGAAGCACCCCGGACGGACCCCGAATTAGTAAAACTTATTAATCCGGGGTAGGGGGTAGTTCACCCCCCTTCAAGGTAGGAGGTATAATTTTTTCACAATATCAATTCCATGGGCAAAATCCTCTCCATGCATACCTGATCACCTTGGTATCCACCGCACCTCCCGCGAGGCTCCGGGAGTGCGCCTTGCAGTCCTTTGCCGAGCTGCTGACGTGGCACCAGGCTCAACAAGCGCGCCAGGCGCTGAAAGGCTGGCGCCATGGCGTGCCACGGCGGCCGGTCGAGGCGAAGGTGTCAAGACGGGTGTCGAGCGGAAATCGCCCTGAGGATCAGATGTACGCCCCATCTAGAGGATGCCGACCCTGAGAATTGGAGTCGTGGAAGACCACTTTCTGCGTACCAAGCCGGTGGTTTGGGAGTTCACATGTAAATCTGCAGGGGAGTATGATTCTTTGGATTTGAGGGGTGGATCTGCAGATATCTTTGGTAGGGCTGTGGGTTTTTGGCCCAGAGAAACACGTGGTGACCGTCCAATTTGGTCAACACCCTGCAGGTTTTGCACATGTGTGTAATTACCCTTTGTTCTTTGCATGTGGGGTATGGGGTATGCCCACGGCCCCTCTCAGACGTTGTCCGTGACCAACTGCCGCTTGGACACGGACACAGCATTTCCACCGAGTGGGTTTTATGGATTGAAACAAGATGGTGATGTTTGCGGATCTCAGTCATAGGAATATATCGGGAATGGATCCTTGTTTGGGGGGAGTGGATTCACTCATCATCAATCTACAATACAACTATATAATTACTATACACTCACGTAGACTCAACCGATGCCCCGGAAGGATGGTGTCTCGTACATCGTTTTCATTCAAGATTTATTCCAACCCCGCCCCAAAGAGTTTTGACATGGCGTGGGCGCACGTCCGTCGTCATAGCATCGCTGGACGGTGCATCTCCGTCGGTAGGGCTCAGGTGCGCCGATCTCATTGGCACCATGAGCATGCTCAATCGGCCGCGGAAGCCTCGCGCACCTCCGACCGGCACCTCGCCGGGGGTAGGTCCCGGATGGGGCGGGAGCGGGGTGTGTTTTTTCCCGAAGGCGATGAGGCACAGATACTCTGTTGGGTGAAAAACGGAGAATTCCGCAGGACATGGCAGGAAAAAGATGCCAACATTGGGACACCAACAGTCTTTCTTTGGCTCGAGCAATCTGAGTGCATTGGGTGGAATGCACAGAAAAGGACCGCCCACTGCGAATGTTGAGCCAGAGACCGCTGCACAAGCAGTTAGGGTGGGGGGACACCATGCAGAAGTCCAGGTCCCCTGCTGGTAAGAGCTGGTCCCACGTGCTTCCCACTTAGGCTGGCAGAGAAGCATGAGATGGAGGTGGCTAAGGTCCGTGCAGAGTGGAAGAAGAAGCGGCAGGTGGGGAGAGCAAATTCTGTTGGTTTGGATTTGGAAGGGTTGGTTTTGATCCTTGATGGGCTTGATGACGTGTCCATCAAGCCCGGTTTTGGTGAAGGACATGTCCGAAAGGAGTGAGTTCTTTGCTATGAACTTGAATTCAGAAGAGACAGAAGTCGCTTCGCGTGCAAAAACTCAGGGTTCTAAAGTATAGAATATATGTTTGTGATTTATTATTGTTTATGTATGTGTGTAAGTGTAATTTGTGTAATATGCTATAGGCTATATAGCACTAGTCTCACACATTTTGTGCATGTTCTGAACATCTGGAATCTAGGACAATTCAGGGATTCAAGAAAATCATGGCAGCCAGCTTGGACCAGTTGGAACCTTTGTTTACCTGTGTTTTCTCACTGGTTGCCTTGTTGCAGGCCATGATGAATGAGTGAACGCCTCAGAAGCGACGTGAAACCACCGCGATAAACAGGTCCGCTCGGAGACTTCGTGAGCTAATCCATATACTGTATATATGTATATATATATATATCACACATATATAAATATATACATATATGTATACTGAATTATATATTCATAGAGGGCACCAAAACAGTTGAACCCCAAATTCGTCACACTGTGTGGTGTTTACTAATTGTTGCTAAAAGTCACCGTGCCCCGTTTTGTTTCCATCCGCTTGGTGAAAACGAACTGATCTTGCAGCTTTCCTCGGACTTTGGGTGCTTGGCTATGTCTCGTGTTCAGCGCTCTCTCGCCTGGGCTGGGATGGATGTTCCGGAAAGGCAGAGCCACCGAGCGAGCTGAACTGCAGGAAAGGCTCGCACCTCAGCGAAGATGAGCTTCAGGAGCTTCGTGAGTTGGACAAGAGCTATCGCCGCTTTGAGACCCAACGGGGGCGATTGGACCAGGGGAGCCGGTGGAGTTTCTGGTTCTCACAAGGGCCCGTCAATGGATATGAAGGGTATACTGTACACGGATGTTGTTTCTTATCTAATGAGCCTGATCAATTGAAGATTTCTGGACTGTCAACGCATGAACCTGCAAAAGAACTCGTGTCATGCTTGGACCCTTGCGACCAATTGCATGCAAGAATTTGACTGGCAAACCCTGCACCGACTGACTCGGTCACAGGGGAGTACATCGTTTGTTCTTTTGCTGCCAGAGCGGCAGACGACGGCAGGTGTCAAGTCATGTCGGTCTATGGACTAAGGTTTCAGACCGGTGGCTTCCTGACTTTTTTTGTCGTTACTTACTCAAGATGCCTTATTTACTGCAATTGATTTTAATGTTGGATTCTGGTTGGCAGGATTGAGCGGAATGTTGATCGTGTGCTCACACCCTGTTCGTTTGTGTGTGGGTGGACCTGTGAAAGACGTACCGATGTTTAGATCAGTTTTTTTTTGGAAATATATAACCCCATATTATTGATATTTATTGGTTTGATTTTGACATCCTGAGAGACGGGGCTGATTCCTGATTCCTTTCAATTTAGGTACCAGTTCGGCATCATTGTGAATCATTTATCATAAAAAGCTTTGTCCCAAACGTTCCCAAGCTATTTTCCAGGTAGGTGTCCACAAGCTTTAGACAGGAATTCCTCCACCATTCTGTGGCTCTAGCTGTAGAACAAAAAGCCACACAGGGATCGAAATGGGATCGAAAATTAACACGTTCACATTCTCCAGGGGAGATTCAAGGTCCATTTTCATGCCCAAGGTTGACATTTATTGATGGGCATTGTTCATATGCCTTTGCCTTACCATCGCGTAGACTGAACCTCAGGAAAGCAGATGACGGAGATGCACGACTCGCACGACGAGCTTCAGGGTGTCTTTTGTCCTGTGAGTGGCCAGCTAACCCGCACGAACAAACACGATCTCCCCAACATGACAGGCTTGTCAAGGACAACAGTTGTTCAAGGGGATTTTTGTTCTGCTGCACTATGCTTGCAACAACTTGTACATGGTGCGAAGTCCAAGTCTGCAGTTGTGTCATGGGTTATGTCCTTATTCTTCCAAGGGCTCACGTCCGGAGTCGCACGACGCGGGGTGAACTCCTTGACCCAGATACAGATTGCTCCGGGATGGGAAGATGATTCTTTCGCCCACCACGTAGCCCCCAGTTTCCACTCTTGATGGCTTGTAGATGGATGCCCAATGCGTGTGGTTTAAATATATATATATATATTGGTAATAATGTGTAATTATCATCACATTTAAAACAAACATATATACACATTATGTTTACTCTTCAATCTTGCGTGATTTCTTTGATTACCTTCACAACAACAACAACACCACAACAACAACAACAACTACTACTACTACCAGCTTCCTCTCCATTTGTGTTCTATAAGTTTAGCTGTAACGTTGTGTTTTCCATCAGCTTCGCATTTCTACTGAGTGCCATGCCGTGTTTTGTTTCTCGGCTTGTGTCCCCGGCTCTAAAGTCTAAGGCACATCGCTCGGCACATGAAGAGGTGCGCGACTCGCTTTGTGAGAGGCGGTGTTGCTTTAGGCAAGTTGTGCGACTCCGACTCAGACTGTATCGTCTAAATATAGATGCCATGAACACATGAGCAGGGGTTAGGCAAGTAATTTTATGCAGGTGAACCGGTGAACCAGCGGTTGCCAGGTCACAAGACTGACAATCATGCTGGACGACTGATTTTGTACGATATTGTCAGTCTTTGAGTTGCAAGTTGCTAAGCGGCAAGTTGTAGCCCTGTTGGAAGGTATATATTCCCAGAAGGCCCCTGAATGAACTCATGGCCAGCATTTGCCACCGCAGGCACGGAAGAAATCGACGAGGAACATCAAGGCAGCTGCCGTGTGCGGAAGGAAATCGATCTGGCAGTCAGGCTGAACCTCAAACTGGCAGGACAGGTCAAATCGGTCAAGACATGTCAAAACCATTGACATGGCCGCTATGTTGACATCTTGCTTCACTTTTATTTTGTTGCTCATCATCGGGTCGTAGGGTCGTAGGGGTCTTGACCTTCCTTGACCTTCGACCCACAACGACTTCACCAGGTCGACCTTCGGTCGGGAAATCACCAGGTCTTTAGCTGTTTGGCCGTGACCCGTTCAAAAAAGAAGATGGAGGTAACAGTTTAACGTTGACTGTTATGAAATCATTTTGGTGGTAGAGGGCTCCAGGTGCTTCTCTCAACGCGTTCACCGAAGCAGCTGCACATCCGGTTGCTGCATGCAAATCTTGCAGACGAGATGAAAGCATAGAAGCAAGGAAGGTATAATCAACTTGGAAAACCTAATAAGCTGATATAGGCGGCTGGGTGTGTATAGTGTAACCAATCACCGTAATTTGCTGCAAACCGCGGGCAGGTCCCACCCTGCTACAGCTACAACAGCTTCAGTTCACATTTTCTATGAAGGGTTGACGCCAGCTGTTGTTTTGACATACGAGAGACGATGGTTTTTTAGCTACTCAGGTACAGTACTCTCAACTTTCACCCAGGTCTTGAAGACACATTTCGTTTGGTTGAAGTGATGAAAAAACCCATGATGCCGTTTCTTTCTCGGTGATTTTTACAAGTCCTGTGAGAATGCCACAAGTCAAGTCATGCCGTTATGTGTTCAACCTGCTGTGAAAATACGGAAAGCTGCACAAAGAACTCGTGAAATGCAATTATGCAACTGCATCGGAGTGCAATACGTGCTAGAAGTGCAACTTGGGGCCTGCTATTGTCCATGTTTACGTTGTTCTTCTCCACCTTTTTTGACATGATTCACTTGGTCATAGTACTTTTGCCGCAAATGCTCTACAAGTCAGCATGTTTGTTATGGATTTAAAATTAGCACGCTTCGCAAGAAAGGTGATACAGATTTGCAAACAAAGTGTGAAGAACATACGATGCCAAGTGAAAAAGAAAACAAACAACAGATGATCACACATGGTTTTAAACGTTTTGTTTGGCATGCACTGTCAGCACTGTGTCCAGAACATGATTTGTGTCGCAGTAAAGCGTGAAAGAGCATAGCACCGATCAGGTTTTGCATTGCTGCTTTACCTGTTGAACCTGCGCTCAACTACGTTCCAGACACATTCGCAAGGCGACAAACACGATAACAACACGAAAACAAACACGAGAGCATCGACGACCTAAAGCCTAAAGCTTATTCTTCAGGACATGCCCTGAAGAAGTATACTCGTGTCGCTGCATTACAAAACAACAAGGTAACACCATGTATGCATGACACACTGGAAATGGATTGAACACATATCAAAACTGGTGGTATGGCAAAGCATGCAAGCTGCCAACGGCGCCAACGACACAGGTCATGGCCTTGGGAGCCTTGGACGCCCTGGCTCAAACAATCCAACATCGGCGGAAGAGAGGTGCCCAGATGGGGCTGGGCGAGGAGAAACATGCATGGATGGCTGCTGGGAAGCCAAAACTGCCCTGCACCCGTAGGTTTTGCGAATGGATGCATGCTTGCATGGAGAACCTCAGCAGGCCTTCAACAAAGAGACGCGTGTGTATAAATACATGTATATGGATATATATGTATGTACATGTAAGGCCTTTCGTGGCGCTAGCGTAATCAGTTTGCACGAGGGTAAGGCCAAATCGCAGCATTAAACCAGTCAGTCAATATTTCCCCTATATCGGTAGTACTACAACGAATTACGATGCATTACGTACACATAATGAAGAAACCTGTTTTTCAACTCGTAGACTTAACCATATTTAACCTGTATCAGAAGCGAAGAGATGATATGCGACCCCCCTTCAGGTGCTTCGTCATATGCGACCCCCCGCTGTCCACAGGTGCTGATGGGCCTGCGGTGGACAGTCCGAGCGCTGCATGCTCAGAGGAGTTCGATTTGCAGACGTGTGCGTGCGTTCCTATAGTCAGTCAGACAGTCAGTGTGTTTGTTTTTGGTGTGTGTAGTGACGTAGTGTGTATTGCAAACCAAAGGGGGGGACATGCAGATATGCCCAACTTCTTCAGCATGTCACCATGTCGAGGCGATGACACTGCCCATATTTAGCTTGAGCGTGGACAGTTCCAGTCTGCCAGCGTTCCGCTGCAGGTGTGCTTCCTGCAGTGGGCCTTCACTCAGAACCCAGAGGTGTGCTTCATCAAAAAAATAGTTGGCTCTAGGGAATCCTTGTGCTCCCTAGATTCTGAAGATTCAGTTGGCTCTAGGGAATTCCATAGATTCAGCGATTCTTTGGCTGAATTGTTTGGCATGCGCTTTCCTCTTTATGCTCATCCCTTTCGACCCGTGTCAAGTGGCTCCGTCCGGACCTCGGGGACGAGGCGTGGTGTCCGCCACCGGCCGCTGATTTGAAGCACGCGATGGTGCTGGCAGAGCAGCCACCTGGCACACCGATGAAGGGAGTTGAGGTCGGAGCCTCCGACTCCGAGGTCGGATACATGTAGAAGGCCCATCAATGAAAAATCCCCCGGCCCCTTGGAATGGGACAAGCGTTTCTGCTGTCCCAGAGCGTGCCAACACTCGAAAAGAAAGCCCAGCGGGGGGTTATCATGTGTTCTATGGCGGGGGGGGTAGAATGTTTTACCAACCAACATTCTACAGTTGTGGGATCAGTGGCCTTGGCCATCACTGGGCGCAACTCGAAGTACCCAGAAACTGAACAGTGGACTGACCAAGGGAACCTGCACATACCAGTGGCGCTGAGGTTCCTTGTGAATTTTGCGGGAATCTAATTATGTATAATATAATCGATATAATGGTATATAATGACAATGGGCTATTATTGGAGTGTTTTACAAATTGAATTGAATGATGTTGAATTACTTTCCAGCCACACTGGCAGCATTTGGTAGCATGTTCTTTTTTGACTATCAAACACTTGTTCCATGTTCTATCGTGCCGCAGTGTCAAGGCTCCATGTGTGTTCTTTTTGCTCAGCTTTTGGCCCGATGAGATGCAGAGAGACCACATGTGAGTGACCATTTCTCCAGCGGGAAGAAATCAGAAACAACATGGATCAAGGTCTAGTCATTCCGAACCTGCCGGGAGCGTTCGTTCAAAAGACGTTCGTTCAAAGATTAGTCGACGCACGGAGAAGACGTGGACGTCGGTGAATTTCAACTCTTAGATCTAGTTGACCCGTCCAATGGGAAAGCAAGGCTTCGATCCCAGGACAGCTTTAGCAAATGCCTCTTGGAGTGTTTGGAGGGCTGACCATGCCTTGTATGGAATGCTGGTGCCACCCAACTGACGTGGACCTGGTGGGCAAGATCCCAGCATGTGGTTGGTGCTTACTGCAAATCAAAGCATGATTACTTTGTTGATCTTTGGTACGGGTGCGCGCTTGGTTTGATCACGAGGCTTGATTCAAAAAGGTTCACACGGGTTCAGATGCGTACGCAGACCCACACGTGTGATTCTTAACATGCCGCCTCAATTTGGAACCTGAGGCATTTGTGCACATCCTTATTCGCCTGTAAGGCATGCTCGTGCCCGGGGTGGTTCGTGTACAGAAACGTTTCCGGGAACTGGATGGGTGGGTCTCTAAGGCGTTGAATACCAGCGGAAAGGCCAAGGCAGCACCGCCCAAGAAGGAGGTGGTGAAGGAAGTGCCAATCAGCACTAAGAAGCGACCTGGCTGAAGGGAACATGTAAGGAGCAGAAGAACCTATGGGGCATTGTTTGACACAAGCAAAAACAAGTGCACCAGCTTCAGAAAGAGAAACATTTTGTTCAGGTGCTCAACATGGTTTGGTAGCAGCCCCGCTGCCGACAGCTGCCAGGAAAGTGGAGAAGCCTGCAGAACCGGATCCTGCCCCAAAAACCAAGAAGGACTTGGAAGAGGATCAGCGCAGATATGTGGAACAGCACCTTGATTGACGCTTAAGTGCCACATTGATGTATGCGTACCATGGACAACCCACGTTGATTTTTTAGATTCTTGCCTGGCGGTGATGTCAACCAGTCCATTCAGTGCACCCTTCCTGGACAGGCTCCAGGGCGTTGCAACTTTGGTTTGCGGCTTTGTGCTTTGGCTTCACTCTCCAAACAGAACCCATGGCCCATGACACTGAGGTTAGAAGCTGAGAAACAACAGTTTTTCGCCTCCGAACAGGCGGGGAGAAGCCCGCCCTGTTTGGTGTGAAACAAGGCTGAGAATGCGGATGTCTCAAGGTGCATGCAGAAACTGTTCTAGAGTTGCCGCAGTATGCAGTTTTCAAAATAGTTTTCATATGTGTTCGAGTCTATTGTCAATTGTTTAGGGACCTGGTGGCCATTTCTCGAGGGTTGTAATGACTGTTGACCCTTCCATGTGCTCTCGAGTCCAACCCTCACGCTTTTCCAGAAGACACCGAAGACCAAGAACAGCTCCCTCCTCAAAGGCTCAGATATGCTAAGATGATCTAAGATGCTAATGACATCGGTATTCATCCGTAGGTAAAGGTGCACCTCTTCCTTTCAGATGCGCGGCATTCTTGGGCGACCTGCCGTTGGACTCCTGAGCGAATCTGGCCCCCCTCTCCGGCCGTCATCCGTCAGCCCTGCCAGGCTCGGAAGTTAGCTGGCAGCAAAGGTGTGGATCAAGACGCTCGGAGCGGAAGGAGCAGGATAGGACCGGAAAGGAGCACTGGACAAAGGAAGAGTCACCATGTTTAGTGAATATTTCGTGTTTGGCTTGGATTTATTTTGATATGGTTTTGGATTCATAAGATGCGATATGTCATGAACTTCTCTAATGGACAGTCACCATGTTTTTTTCCTGGGCACTAGTTCTTCGCTGAAGATCTATTGATTGTCACTGAGAAACCTGTGCTTCTTCAGCTAGGATGGCAGGAAACATGGAATTCTACTTTATCAAGTCTTACTAGTATACATGATGTCCCCGACATGTTAAAAGATCATGAAGCACATTTCCACTATAAAATCGAAGGGGTATACCTATACTATGTATATTTTTTTGTATGTCTCCTACCATCTCCTACCCCTTGGAGGGGTCATGTTCTGATTTTATAGAGAAACTGTGTGTGTATGGTGTTGCCGCTGCATTTTCACTGAAGTTTCAGCACCAGGAAAACGGCAAGCCAGAGGAAGCAAGAAAAAATAGTAAATTATAGAATGTTAAGGACCAAGATCTTCAAAGATCAAAACATCCAAGATGTTGAATTAGTTTTTTTGGTATGTCTTTGTAAACTTAAGTGTTGAACATGTTGAACTGTTTCAAAAGGCGCTTTGTCAAGCACTCAGTACCACTGATTTGTGATCTGATCAGTCACACATGAAACTCAACGTCAGGTGAGGTCATTTTATGTATATACTTGTAAATGCTGTGGAGGTAAAGTTCTTCAAATTAGAGTACCCCTGGCCTGCGGGTTGGCTCCACCGTTTTATATCTATAAATTGGGGGTATGGACCCCCCCCCAGAATTTGCACGTTGATTTAAACAGTATATTTTTACCAGTGGTCTTCGGGGAGGCCCTAATCTAATGCACTCTCATTGGTGTTGGGTTTCCTCAGTTTGCCTGGGGAATTCATTCACACTCGGGCATGTCCCCAGACTGTATTCATTTTTTCTGGGTTCCTTTTCCAAGTGACTAAGCCGGTGAAGGGCGATCTCGCTGAAAAGCGGTTGGTGGCGGATTCTCGGGGTCCATTGGGGTCCTTTGGTGATGATGCTGGGTCATTGTGCTGGATACAGAACATCGTAATCCATGTGCCTTTCGTTTTCACCGATGGGCGGATGAATCCATCATGGCCATCCAATCATGAAGCAGAGATTTTTTTCATGAAGCAAGGCACTATTCGGTCGATGGGATCACGTCTGGTGGAGGTCCACAGGGCTCGTCCTGTCGACACGCATTCGGATGTCCGATGTTTGGCGACAAGGAAGTGACCTATGTCGAAGACAAAGACACACGAAAGCCTAAAGCAGCCGCTTGGATAAAGGAAGGAACTGTTGAATGACTTGCACACCGAGGCGCCAAGTAGTGATTTAGGTGAGGATCGATCGGATCGGCCTGTGTTTGGGGCCTGTTTGCTGAGTAGGGTCCCACCAGAAAGATTGTTTTTGCTTGCTCAAGCCGTTTGGCTGAGCGGTGGTCCATATGGCCTGCTGGAGGCAGTGACTCTTGTTGCCGAACAATGCCGAACATGCTGCTGTCCCAAACGCACGACGTGTAGTGTGCGTAAATACAGATGTGTAGTGTCGCATAGGATCCAATCTGTGGACCATTCTGAACCAATGCACTACCCCACCAGCAACGACCACTTCTGTGCACCCCTTCATGTCCAAAGCTGGGCCCACACCATCCATGTTGATCCATTTTGGTTTAACAAAAACATTAATCTGCCGCGGAAGCACATCAATTCGGCTTCATAGAAGTATAATTCGCAGAGACGTACTTCCCAAGCTTCGCAGAGCCCAGTTTTTCTTCGTAGATGTGCATGCTGCTTTAGACTCCTAGACTTGTTTAAACAAATTGTATGAACAGCAAAATGACCAACCCAGCACAGGGTTTGCTCAGCGATTCTGACCGGCAGGTCAGCGACATCTCCGACTTCTGGAAGAAGGAGTTGGGCTTGCTGCCGTACATGCCAACTGACAATGTTCAGGAGGTTGATTTGCCAGAGGAGCTTGATCACTCCATACGGCTTCTATACCTTCAGATTCTCGGCTCATGGTCCCATCGTGAATTGAACGGCCAACAGCTTGGGGAAACATCTTGGCAGCACCTTTTGGAGGGCAACAATTGGGTGCACCAACCACTGAACATGTTGGTGGTCATGTTGATCTAATTGCTGATTCACTGCGGAAACAATCAACCAAGCTGGTTTGCAGTGGATTGGTCAACTAGTATGCCGGCACGTAGAATATAACCATGTTTGCATATTTTTGCAATTAGGTTTGGCATCCAAACTATTGACACTAATGAAACGTCAGAAAGCCCCTTCCCAGTGGACTTCAGATTTGACGAGGTCTGTCCGCGTTCCGCACGAATTCAGGAACTTGAATGAGCAGCTCGAGAAGCTTCTGACCATGCGTGCTTTGCCGCAAGGTCAGTGACTTTTCACCTTCCAGCAAGCCGCAAGACTTCCAGGAATGCCGGGTAGGAGAAGCTTATTCGAATGAGAGGCTGGTGAAAGGCGAATTTGGGTGCCGTAGACCATGTATAGATCACTAGGGCAGGCTCTCGTGACTTCGTGACGAATTTGGGCTTGTTCCACCCTGGAGTCACGAATTCGTGGCTCCTTCCGTCGTTCGTGACGACATCCACCGCCACGAGCCGTGGCCATGTCGCTTTGAGGTTTCCATGTCTTTTGGAGCCAGTGCATTTACGATCCCGCCGTCAGTCGGCTGGTGGATTCGTATCTTAGGCCGGC